CTACCGCGATTGGGCCCAGCGAGAGGTGGCGGCCAACCCGAACCACAGCCCGGACCTCGCCGTGGACGACAAGACGGCGGAGAAGGCAGCCACCAAGGCGAACAAGGAGATCACCCAGCTGGCCGAGGACCCCGAGGTGAACCCGGTCGTGCCGGTGCCGACGCTCAAGGCTCTGGGCGGGGATATTTCAAAGATTCGGCGAGCAGCTCCGATGGTTCGTGGGTGCCTCTGCCGGTGCGAGGGGCAGCGCCGAAGAGACAGGCAGCCAGGCGCCGAGCCCCGGACGAGGCCCAGGAGATCAGCGACATGGACGCCGAGCTCCTCCCGGAGGCGGCCAAGGAGATCGCGGACGCGGAGGCGAAGCTTGCGGCGCTGAAGCAGAAGCACAAGGTCTTGCCGAAGAACTCGGCAGCCAAACCGTGAACGAGGTGAAGGGCGGTAGGTTCGCCACCCACCGCCCGGAGACAACGACACAAGGCGGGGAAGCCGGCGACCTCGAGGAGGACAGCGAAGAGAGCGAGAGTGAGGCCGACGACGGCGAGCCCCGTGACGGCGCTCGTCCTCTACCCGGTGACCTTCGAGAAGCCCGACGCCGAGCACGAGAAGGACTTCGACTAAGGAAAGAAAGGGCCCATGGACCCAAGAAGCGCGCGTTGAAGGGGCTCAAGACGGCCCTCCAGGCGTTCGCCTTCTTGGCGGCCACAGTGTCGGCACATGCTTCGGAGGTTTTTGCTGAGCCAACCCGTGACCTTTGGGATGTCTTCCAAGCTGCCCACCGGCACCACCACTATGAACCCAGCCGCGCCGACTTCTTCGAGATCTTCGCCGGTGAGGCCAGGATCTCCCAAGCCATCGCCGAAAGGAAAGGGGCAGCCCTTGAACCGAAGGACGGGAGGTACGGCACAACCTGTGGGACCCCGTCGTGCAGAAAGAGATCCTCGACACAGCCGCCCGAGAACGGCCTAAGCTGATCTGGGTGTCACCTCCAGCCTCTGGATGGAGCAGGCCCCCTGATGTGAGAGCAGCCCCGCAGGCGGCCAGACGGGCACGAGACAAAGACGAGGTGGTCGTGCAGTTCGTGGACAAGCTCGCCGCCCTACAGCACAACACCGGGGGACACATCGCGGTTCAACATCCACGGGCCTCCGATTTGTGGCGGCACAGCGTCTTTGAGAAGTGGGTGGATGAAGGCAGGGCCCGCTTTGTTGAAGTCGACCTGCGGGGCCCCCGGCCAGGCGAAAGCAAAGGAGGAGAAGTTCTCTACGGCACCTCTGTGCTCACTACGAGCCCGGGTCTCGCCTCAGCTATCGGGGCAAAGGCCGCGAAGGACAACTTGACAGCCGATTTCCTCGACCCCTGGCGCGCCGCCGTGCACCCATACCACTCCGCCCGCGCCGTTGCCAAGGTTACCACCATAGGCTTGCACCCGGGCGAAAGATGGGCCCAGGTCACAGATGGCAACGAGGGCGAGAAACCCGAGGAGCCCGATGACAGCACCGGGGCAGCAAGCATATCTTTCAAGGGGAAGGTGAACCCAGCCGTGGCCACCATTCTCAAAAGACTTCACCAGAACCTGGGCCACCCGACTAATCGGGAACTGGAGCGTCATTTGCGCATCGGTGGGGCCAGTGCTGCCCTAGTTCAAGCCGCGGAACAGCTCACGTGCCGCACTTGCGACCGCAGCACCAAGGCGAAGCTGCCTCGCATTGCAAAGCCCGTGATGGCTTTGGACTTTGGGGAGGTCGTCTCCATCGACGTCATTTGGCTGGAGGCTACCGACAGCAGTGGGGCCGATATCCCGGCACTTAACATGGTCGACGTGGCCTCCACCTATCAGGTCGTCTACCCCATGGCGGGGACCAAGTCTGAGGATGCCGTTCGGGCCTTTATGACGGGATGGGTGCATTGGGCCGGAGCACCTCGTTTTCTCGTCGCCGACCTTGACTCCGCCTTCAAGGACCGTTCCTAGAGCTCCTTGACCAGATGGCCGTCCACATCCGATGCGCCGCAGGGCAGGCCCATTGGCAAAACTCCGTGGCGGAACGCCAGGGAGAGACATGGAAAGAGGTGTGGAAAAAACATGTCGAGGCGAACCTTATCTTGAAGGACGAGGCCCCAGAAGCGATTGCAGCCATCAACTCAGCCAAGAATAATTTACGCAGCCGGTCGGGCTACTCGCCCCGTCAATGGGTGTTTGGCTGCGGGCAGCGCCTCCCAGGAGATCCCTTTGATGCGCCCGAGGAGGAAAGCGTTCGCGACCTGACCAGCATCGACAGCAAGTTCGCCAGGCAGCAAGCCATTCGCCTCGGGGCCAGGACTGCCTTTTGTGAGGTCCAAGCCTCAGACTCCCTGAGGCGAGCCACGGCCCACAAGCCTCGGGTTGAGGGTCTTCCCTTTGAGCCTGGGTCGCTAGTCTATGTGCTTCGGAACGCGCGCCCTGGAAAGGGTAAAAAGCCGGCCCCGAGGTGGATAGGTCCGGCAACCATCTTGGGCCGGGAAGGCTCGAACTACTGGGTCTCACGCGGGGGAAGATGCCTACTGGCCGCCGCAGAGCATTTGAGGACGGCCCACCACGAGGAAGTCAACGAGTTCCTCCGCCTACGGGTTGCCATGAAGGAGGTGGAGGACTACATCCGCAAAGAGGAGGGCCAGGAGCTCGACGAGGCCGCGGCGGATGGTTGGGATGATTCGGCAGCTGCGGGCCCCGCCGAGCAGATGGACGTGGACGTGAGCATGGAGGCCCCGGCCGAGATAGACCCTCGGTTGGGCGGCGCAGCGGCGCAGGAAGAAAAGCTGGCCATTGCGACCCGGCGCCGCGACCTCCTCGACGACGTGCCGGTGAACCTCAAGAAGCCCCGGACCACCCTCATGGCGCAGCACCGGTGCTCCGAAAAGGGCAAGGCCAAGCAGCTGGAGAAGGAGCTCCCTTGGGGCGCAATCCCGCCCGAAGAGCGCCCTTTGTACGTCGAAGCAGAACGCAAGCAGTGGCAGGAACACCTTGATTACCAGGCAGTGAGGGCATTGTCCGAAGAAGAGAGCAAGCACGTCCTCGACAACATCGACCCGGCCCGCGTGCTCTCCGCTAGATTCGCGTACAAGGACAAAAATCACAGCAAGCGAAAGCTGCAGGCCGATTTGCCTCCTAAACCGAAAGCCCGGTTGTGCGTTGCTGGGCAAAACGACCCAGATTTGGGGGTCGTCGATATGTCCACCGATGCGCCGACAGCCAATCGTCACAGTGTTTTGCTCGCGCTGCAACTTGGGCTGGCAAGGGGCTGGAGCGTCTCGGTGGGAGACGTGCGGGCAGCTTTCTTAAACGGGGTCCCGGCCCCGAGGCAGCTGTTCTTCAGGCAGCCAAAGCGAGGCATTCCCGGACTTCGAAAAGGGCAATTGGTGGAGATCCTCAAAGGTGTCTTCGGCTTATCCACCTCGCCCAAGCTGTGGTGGCTAAAGCTGTCCGGGGACCTCAAGGAGACCGTGTTCAAGGGGACCGACGAGGACATCATGATCAAGCAGAACCCCATCGACCCTTGCGTCTTCGTGCTTGTCGGGTGCTCGAGCGGCAAAGTACGGGGACTACTCCTGACTCACGTCGACGACCTCCTTTTAACCACAGAAGAGGGGCTCAAGGTGGTGGCCCAGCAAAAGCTGAAAGAGCTCTTCCCCGTCGACGACTGGGAGAACGACTCGTTCGACTACGTTGGGTGCGAGTACAGGTGTTCTCCCGAGGCGATCGAGATCCGGCAACAGGCCTATTGCGAGGGCCGCGTGGACAAAGTGACCATCCCTCCTGGGATTCCCGACGATCAGCCAGCAGGACCGGGGGAGGTAGAGGAGAACAGGACTACAATCGGCAGCGTGTCATGGCTGGCGAAGATGACCCGCCCTGACCTCCAGTTCGCCGTCTCCCAGGCTCAGCGCAAGCAAAACCGACCCACCATCAAGGACCTCAAAGAGACCAATCGGCTGGCCGATGCCGCTCTAGAGGGCAAGGAAAAGGGCATCACCCTTCGGCGCGTGCCTGAGGACCGGCTCACCCTCCTGGCCTTCCACGACGCTGCCTGGGGAAACGTTGACCCGCCAGGTGAGACGACTGAGGACAAGCAGTGGCAGGGAGACCATACTTTGTCGAGCCAGCTGGCTTCCCTAGTGGTGGTCTGCGACCGAGGTTGCATACGGGGCAGCGGCGGCAACTTCGGCGTGGTCGAATGGAAGAGCAAAGCCAGCCAGCGAGTCTGCCGTTCCACGTTCGCTGGGGAGACCATGGCCTGCAGCGATGCCCTGGAGTCAGCCGTGTTCCTCCGCGGCCTCCTGGTCAGCATGATGACCGGGACCCTTGTTGCTGAGGACCTTTGCGGTGGGTTCTTGGAAGTTCACCTGGTGACTGACTGCAAATCCCTTTACGACCACATCCACCGCGAGGGGACGCCGAAAGCACCTACCGAGAAACGGCTCGCGCTTGACCTGGCAAGCGTGAGGCAGCTGTTGGTGACCGAAGCCAAGCACCAGGCCCGCAAGCACGGCAAGGACTGCGACCCTTCACCTGAGCGCCCTGTGCGCCCTCCGCTTCACTGGGTGCCGACAGGTGAACAGCTCGCGGACGTTCTCACTAAGAGGATGAAAGCGGATGCCTTTTGGGGGGCCCTAGAAAAGGGGCACCTGTCTCTTCCCCTTCTCGGACGAGAAGGGTTTTAGGAAGAGCTTTTGTACCAGTATCGATGTGCCACACGTCATGCTTCATAGAACGTGTGTGCACCTGCCGCGTACGTTCAGGCACAAGGATTTCTGCAGTGCACAGTGCAAAATGTGAGGGCGACTGTGTTGCCACTGCTGTTTCCCACAGCTGTGCTGTCAAAACAGGTTGAGGAGGGTCATTTTGGAACAAGGGGTCTGAGATTTCAGAATGCCCGTGCTACATGCAAGAAGATGAGAAGTCCTTCGATAGTTTTAGGTTTGCCTGGATGAAGGGCTGTACTTGGTTTGAATCGCCGGACGTTCAGGCTGGACCTTCCTTTGCAGGCCTGCTTGAGGCTACTCGCGTTTCGATGGCAGAGCGACCTCGTAGGAGCTTGGGACATGTGCAGGATGACTTCTGCAACATGTGTCCAGGCCGCTTCGTGCAGACCTTTGTCCATCTTCTGAGACTTGGCATTTGGGTAGCGAGAATGCCTGGTCAGTCTTGCGTGAGATTGACTGTCTCGTGCGCGTTTGCTGCTTTCTCTTACTCTAAGCCTTAAGTTGAATCTGGCATGCGAATTCGTGCTCGTTATCCCTGTAGTGTGTGGCTTCAGTGTGCAGAGAATCCAAATCATCAGGCTCTCAACTCCCGCGCATGCCTTTCAAAGATCAGGAGGGATTCAGTACGCTGGGTTGGAAGTGCTTTGCTTGAGGTTCTAAGCTTTTACGTCCGCTTACCAAATGCCACAACTCTTTAACGTACATGTGGGCTTTTTTGCTGGTTAGACATAGCGGCGAGTTTTGCAAGTGAGCCGATCGTATGGTTGGCTCAAGTCTTTCAGCTCTCTCTGTGCTGAGTGTCAGGGCCACTGCCACAACAGGTTGAGCAGGGCGAGCACTCCGAAAGGATATCCACGAACACGATGACGAGTTCGTATTGTCTTGGAAATGGGTATAAAAACAGAAATAATGTACCAAAATCTTATTAGTTGCGATGTTGCGTTCCTTTCTAAATGTCTCATTTTATGCATCCCCAAACAGTCAGCCCTGAACTAAAGTCCTTAAAAAGTCCTCGAGGCGGCAAAAGGCGCGGACGCAAAAATTACCAGTATACCACCTGCTATCTATTATTCGAGTAGTATTGCGATGCATGTGTTAATGGTATTGCTTTTAATGGAATTCAGATGCAATGAGTTTGATCCCATACTTACATACTGCTCATCGAGAACTCATGTGAAGCTTGCAAAAATGAGTTCCAAATGCCTGTTACGAGACAGTCCAAGAAAATATTTAAGAGCCTCCGGCTCAAGCCGCCGACCCCGCAGGAGTGAGAGGAAAGGATGTGAGGGTTTTGGACAGCAGCCGTCAACGCCGCGTCCTTTGCGCTGACGATGGTCGTGGTGGTAGGGGGAAGGGGAAGAGAATTTAAGGGGAGGGGGGGACGGGAGAGAGGAGGCTTGGAAGGAGAGGGTGGGATTGAGGGGCGCCGGGTGCCGGGGTGGGGGAGGTGCAATTCGGCCCAGAGGTGTCAATCCTCCATGGAAATTAGTGCCGGCCTGTGTCAGCCTGGTGCGCGGGATTTTGGTGTGGGAGCACGGAAAAAGGGAGGTTGACACCTCCCAACCCATCCAGCACGCCGCCAGGGTCGGCGGACCAACAATACTTAAACCCGTAGGCTAAAACATAAGCATATCCCGGGAGACAGTCCCCAAGAAACAAAAAACACAAAGATTTGTAGCTATTCCAGAAGCCATTTTCGAAGCAGCGTTGAATTTATGGGTTTTTTGGGGTGTGTGGAGGAATATACGCATGTGGGCATACTTCTCGAGCATATCATATTGTGCACGTACAGAGTTGTGGGATTTGGTAAGGACGTATAAGCATAGAACCCCAAGCAAACTAAATCCCATGATCCGTGAAGGGCATGCGCAGTAGTTCAGAGCTGATTGAATTTTGGTTCAAGGAACTGTCTTGTCAAGAGACGTGCTTGAACTGGCTGACGGGACGGTGCTCCACCTGCCTACGTGCACCCCTCCACATCCCCTCCCACCCCCCGGGTAACAAAAAATGCTCCACCATGCTCCGCCCCTTGGCTTGCTTTTCTGCGCGTCACTGGCGTCCAGTGCAAACATCAGCTATTCATTACTACTTCTCCCGACAAGGTATAAATCTCCGGTCCCAACGACTGAGCCGTCTGAATGGCGGGCATCAGCCTAGGACCTAGGAGTGCATCCTCCCAGGGTCTGAACGAAATTGCAACCCCACCAAATAGTTATGCGCAGCATATGTGTCATTCTTTGCAACTAGCGTGATCAGTGGAGTCCCTGTCCCTGGCTGAGGAAGGCACATTTCTCATGGATGCCAGATGCTGAGGGTTCTCGCAAGTGGGAGAATCCACACTCGCGCAAGAGAGAAGCCGAACCCTTTGGAGGAGCAGCAGAAGCTGATGCTGCAGCTGCTACACGAGGCCAGGAGCTGCTTGCGGTGTCTTTCTCTTCACTTCGTTTCACAGTTGTTGTCTGTTGAAAGATGTTGAAAGGTCTTGGTGAAGGCCGAGAAATCAAGCCACTCTGCGCAATATGCGGCCTGTGTGTAGTGCATCATGAGCACGGCCGTAGGAGTTCGCACAGCCAATTGGGATCCAGGTTTATTTCCCAGCTCTAGGTTCGTTCAGGGGTCAGACTGAGGCTGGCTGCCATACATCCGAGCCTCAGCTGCATTTACATGCTGCCCCATGTCACTGTGCATACGCAGTTTTCTCGTGCAGCTGGAGGCACGTTACCAAGCACTTTTCCGACACTGCCTTTGTGGTTTACGGAGGAGGAAGCAGCTGGACACATGTTTTACACTGTTCGTGGGAGTTCCTCGTGCGAGAAGTTGCAGGAGAAGGAATTCTTGAAGGGCACTTCAGTGGACACGCTGCTTCAGGGAGCTCACATTGCCAGTGTCAAGGACGGAAAATCCTGCTCCTAGCCTGGAATGGTGTGGGCAACTGTGATCAACTGTGCGAATTTGAGGGTTTCCTGCTCGGGCTTGCCAGGACTTGAAGGCCATGCAATCGTACTGCGAGCAGTTGGACATTTTTACATCCTCACCTTCTCTGGATCAGATGTTGCCTCAGATTTTTGAAGCACTACGCTTTGGAGCATTTTGGAGCATTCTGTTCGTGTCTTGGCCTTGCGAGGTCGAACTGTATCTAACACCCGCTGTTGCAAGCATTGAAGACAAGGACGCTGCCTAGAATCGCAACGCAAGCGACAAAAGCACCGCCGTCAACCAAGAAGCTTTTGAGTTCACGAATGTATAGCAGCAGAGTGGGGGAGTAGTACACAATGTGCACGAAGAAATGGCAGAGCAGCCAGTGGTGAAAGTGGATGACAGCTAGACTACAGGATGTGGAGAATGGAAACTCGGGTCTGCAACAGATGCCACCACACTCGCGACCATGTGAGTTAACCATGATTGAACAACTTTTTGCTGCAGTTGCATTAGTTCGCATTTCCCTGCTCCAGGCTCCGAGTCGCTATTGACACCCCTCTGCAATCCCTCGTGCTTCTTTGCATCACAGGTTTGCACTTCTGACGTTACTTGCAAATAAAGCAACTATAGTATCTACTGTCCATGGCCTATTCACGAAGCTTTGGGCTTGCGGCGGCTGTTGTTTACAAATCGGGTCAGAAGAGAGTTTAGGGGGCCTTTGCTGCTACAAGCAGTACATCAACCAATCCGCCACCTCATTCTTTCGGAGCTCCCCCCCCCTGAAGGCTGGCCCCCTGCCCCGTCAGTACAACAGACAGCGGAACCGCTACCATTCGGTAACATGGCCGCAGCGAACATCTGCAACAATGAAGAAGGCAGAACTGCTTAAGACTGTTTCACGTTCACCACAGCCTTCCTTTCCGACTCGTTGTTGACAGGCACAAGCATCGACGAGTTTGTCGGACGGTGAACAGACGTTTCAGAGTTGTTTCTTGCATGCCATGCGTCGTTCAGCGCAGGCTTAGGTCAGGTTTGAGTGACCATGCATGCGAACTCAATTTCTCTATTAAGCCTGATTGATAGCGGCCAGTTCACAACACAGCATACAAGGAGCGCTGCATCATGCTGCATCATTCACATTCGCTTACCAGCATCACTTCGCATTTGCCATGCGCTCTGTTCTGCATGTCTCTGCTTGAGCACAATGTCCACTACGACTTAGCTTCTTTATGCAGTCTGTCTTCGATATCTGAAAGGGTTCAGAGAAGTCAAGGTTGCGCTGGGCCGCCTCAGTTGTGGCTTCACGCGCTTTCGACTCGTCCACTGCTGGAGTAATCCTAGCGCCATTCGCCGACGAAGCTCGGAAGCACTTAGTTCGTGCCTGAGTAGTTTGCTCCGAGAGAGCGTGGCAAGCAGTCTTTAAGTTGCCTCTTCTGTCCTTCGCATGCAAAGTGCTGGCACGTCCAGAAGGCATTGCAGGTCAGTCGTGCATGAACGATTCCCGCGTGACGGAGTAATTTGTTCTGTTTGTAGGCAAGTTTCACTTCAATTGCTCGTCGCTTTGCAATGCAGAGAGAAATCACCATTTTTTCAATCGTTGACAACACCACGCTGTGGGGGCTGAAGCAAAACGGACTGCTGACCGGGGGCTCCATGCTGCGGTTTTAAAAGTGGGGCTTCGTGATGGTGGTTCAAGGCACAGCGCTTAAGTCATTCATAGTTTGTTCCTCGCATCGCGCAGCTTTTAGGACAGTTGCAAATAGTTTCAAAGGGGGCCAATTCTCTGAATCTAGCGACGAGCGCAGTGCGGAAAGCAGCTGCAAGAAATTAAATCAGCATCAACATCAAGCCGAGGCACTGAATCATTCCAGCGCTGCTCCCCACACCCGCATGAGAGATTGAGGCTTGCCTTGGTTTCAGCTTTGGTGCTTTGTTCTTTGTGTTGGCAGAGATTAAAGTAGTTTTGGACTTGTTGAATCTTGTGGGTTTCCGGGTTTAGAAAGCAATGTTTTGTTGAACCTGCGAGCGAGTGAGCTGCGTGCCCTGCTCCAACACAGTCCGCCTGGCCGGGGCTAGTTGGTTTGGGCTTCAGGGTCACAGCTGCGGGGGTCCACCAATCCATGAATATCCAAATGTATCTATGTATGTATATACACACACACACATATATATATATATACCCCTAGTTTAACAATGGGTGTGGCTGGGGGATTCCTACATTCCCCACCTATTTCCGGGGGTCGCCGGACCTATTCTGGGTGGCAGTGGGGCTGGTCCCGAAATGGGTCAGGGAAGGGTGCTCCGATAGATCGTTCTTGTTTAGGTGTCGATGTATATATGTATGTATGTATGTATGTATGTATGTATGTATGTATGTATGTATGTATGTGGGTGTGTGTACGTAGATATAAGCATGTGTATAGGTTTACCATGGCTTAATGTATTCGTTTATGTATAAAAATATTGATGTTGATACGAGAGTATCGGCTTGGCTGCTTGCTGATCCGTCGATATCGTATCATGGAGATTATCACGGAGATGCAGAAAGTCCGAAAGTGCCGGATTTAGACCACCACTAGGTAAGTTGGACGGGACGCAGCAGTGGGCAGGTTTCCCCCAGCGGGGTCACTCACTCTTCCGCTAGTAAGAGCCTTACAAAAGGTCGACAAGAATCCCCTGGCCCCAGACTTATTTCTCTGCCGGATCCACGAATTCCTGCCACAGCCTAGTCACGTACTACATTACCAGTAACTCAGTAAGACACGTCCCACAATAATCCAGTATCCTACTAACCCTGCCCCGGTAACATTCCCTGATTTGCTGGGGAATATCTACTATAAATAGATAGGTAGGTAGATCGATAGATAGATGGATAGATAGATGGATAGCTAGCTAGATAGATAGATAGATAGTCAGATATGTGTATATCGACATATATATATATACATAATATATATATATATACATATGTATATATATATATATATTTCCTGCTATAGATCCACCAACGTTCACATTCCATTTCGAAGGCACAGATGTTGCGGCATGCCGGACCCTTGACAATGTAGTTCGGACTCCTCCCGATCGGCATTTTCTGGCAGTGATCACTTAATCGGTTTCCGATTCACTCCAGCTGAAATCTTATGCATTATCTCTCAACATAGTGCTGACCGTTTTATTCTACACACACTAAACTCTCAAGCGGTATGACTGTGAAACAACCTGAACCCTACAAACCCTGAGTCCAGACACTGACCCAATAAAGCGTGCTCGGGGTACTGCCTCTTGGGTTAGGCGTACTTGTGACAAGGAGGGAGGGAGGAGATGCAGAAAGGATAGGGGAGGGAGGGAGGGAGGGAAGTGCGCCAAGCGAGGTCTCCGTGCCTTCTGAACGGCCATTTACAAGTTTGAGCCGATCGCGGGTTCTGAGATGTACAAAAGCCCAAACCTTCGGATTTTGGGGCACCCTGCCTGGAACAAACCCTGATGTTGCCACCGCCTTGCCTTCTCACTATTGCTTGCCACAGGAAGCCAAGACATACGAAAAGAGTTGGGTTTCAGCGCCGGGTCCCAAAGTTCACAACAGGTGGCGAGCAGCTTTTGTTCCACGCAGAGCGGGACATTTCTGCCGGGGAGGAGATCTTCAACTGCTATGGCATGCAGGACCGTCGCTGATGTGTGTGTGTGTGTTGGGAAAGATCCTTGACACGAGCAAGTTTCATGCAAGGGCAACATCCAATGGCTCCTCAATGGTGGATTTCGGGACTGTTCGCGCCCATGCGATGATCTTCTTGTCACACCGGCAGATGTGGTGACCTTGCTTGCACCAGTCGCTTTACTACTGGTAGCATGCTACTGGTATGCAGTGCGAGCAGCATGGGGCAGTCGTACTTGGACATCACACAAATGTCGAGTTCGTACAGCGACTCAGGCTGAGTCTGCTTGTTGCAGCAGCTTCTGTACTTTGATTGATCTCCCTGCCCAATCCTGGTTTACTAGCCAAGTACAACCAAGTCGTACCAGTCTTAGAGCTTTCGTAGTTGGTGTATTGTGTCCTTCAGTTAGCGCACACACCAATCAGTTGGCAATGTTTTCAAGTTCAATGTCAATGTGAGGTGAGTTCAGCGCTGGCACATATGCACTTTTGCAAGGCCCACCGCTGCCACCCTGCCTTCACAGGAGTGTCGATGTTGGCACGAAGTGGGTTTGGAATCAGTTCGACCGTCCAGCGGTCAATCAAAGATAGAATATAAGAAAAGACACTTACAGTACAGTGGCTCGAAGCTATTATCGTCTTCTAGCAGCCTTTACGCTGGGCGACCATACGAGGGTCAGATACGGGTTACTTCTCTTAGTGGCACAGAGGGTGCGCTGTCGAAGCACTCTCCCCTGCGAAGTCTCTCGGGACTATGCCTGCCCACACCTGTTGATACTATGCTGTCATCGGTGTGGCGAGGTACCTACATAACTTATATATCAGGCTGTGGTCACGTGGTCGGAACTGTCATCAGCAAGTGCACGTAGATCGTCTGCACGGGCAAGGATGAGACAGACGCAGCGGAAGATGAGGCAGGACCTGTGCGTGCCACCTGCTAGCCATTCCGCATGCATCATCTGCCCACCCGCAGATTTGCCAGGAAGATTTCCTGTGCGCGCGGTTGTCTCTCCTGCAGGACAGAGGACGAAGTTTCACGACCCAACGTGTGTGCAGTCGTCCAGAGATGGTCGGACGGCCAGGATTGTGGCATTGGCAGGGGCTCCTTCTGCATATCTCCCACGGACATCCTTCCTGACGACTTGGCGACGATGCTGCTGGTGCTCTACATGTTTCTGCCTCCGCCGAGAGAATTTCACGACCTGCAACAGACGAGAATAGGAAGCACCAAGCCCGCAAATGCAAAAAAGTACCTGAGAAGATTGAGGATGCAAGAGATCAGCGTGTAAACGATGCTTGTGGCGCAGGTCATGTGCATGACAGATGCGGAGTTTGCCACGTACCGTCAACAAAGAGCAGGCGGCTCGCCGCCTGCTTCGGGCTTTACACTGCTTTCCAGACTTTTCTAGACATGTTGCGTCAAGTCTCTGAAAAACCAAATGCACAACAATCCCAGAGAGAGACAGCCCTGAACAAGCAGCAGTCTCACAGTGGCAACTGCCGAACACCAGTTTGCCAAGTTCTGACATCCCTTACACGGGCATGCATTGCCTGGAATGCAAGCGTTCTTCAACTCCGGTCCGGGCGCCGAAAATCGTTGCCCCGCTGGCCACTCATGTGTTGTGATCGGCTTACTCAACAGGGCAAGCGGGGCGAGTGAAAGAACTCTGGGAGCGGTGTTTATTCACATGCGCACTGTCATAAATTAGATGCTTTCTGTTCTGCTTGACTTCATTGAAGCAGGGGCACAGCGGCAGGAAGCGAAAAGAACAGCAGACAATGGAATCTCACGACAGGTATGGATTGAGGGATGGATGGATGGATAGCGGCAACAGCCTTGGGTCAGGCGTGATCCCTCCCGCCTTCGCAGCGCCTAGCAGGCCTAGCAGGACCCGCATCGCGGTATGTTGAGCAAAACAGTCGTGGTTCCTCGTGGAGTGCATTATCCCGATCATATACCGGAACACCTCCACCTGACAGACGGAATCAACCGTCTGCCACGTGCTATTCATGTTATTATTCACATTCACCCTCACATGGGTCAAAGCCACAGACGCTCAAAGCTGCCTAACACCCGTAATTAGTGACTGCATCCCTTCAAAAACGGCCGGAAGGATTGGCCCAAGCAGGAACACTTCCTGGCGGGCCGTGGGGTGTTTTTGTGCAGGCCTTGTGCCCGCACCTGTTTGAAAGGTTGAGTGTTCGACAACAGGCATACTCACTACCCCGCTCACCATTCCCCGCCTCTGTCCATGAATCGGCCACGCTGCCGAAGGTTGTGTCGCTGAGCAACAAGAATCCGACACAACACAGATGCAGAGAACCAGATGATTTGTCCCGCCGTCACCACTCCTGAGAACCGAGTGCATCGCTGAGATTTCCTTGAGAACATATGCACGTGCCAATCAGGATCAGGATCTGTGTACGTGCCAGCTCAACTGCGCCTCGTAGCATTGTCTTTCCGGCCATGGGTACTTCCATCTGTGCCACGAGATTTGTCTTGTGAGGCGGTGCAGATCCAGTGATCGACCTTGGCGGCACGGAAGGCCTGGGCGGTGACGCTGCATTTCCTGAGCTCTGAAGGCTCTGAGCTTCGCCAGGCGAGGAGCTGCCAGAGACGCTGCTGGCAAACCTCTATGGCTGCCTGCTGCGCAGCTCTCACTGAAATAACATGATGCGTGTAGTTGCATGTATCAGTCAGTGTGTGTGTACGCAAAGACACGAAAGAAAAGAAGCAAACAATAATACTGACTATTGATGCCAGCACATGGCATGGCACTTGCGTCGCAACCAGACCACGGACATCCACGGTCCGTCTCTGGAATATAAGATGAGAATCAGACTTCAAGATGTTCAAGATCATGTCATGTCACGGACTCGTCGGGATTCCGGCTCATCTTTAGCTGTTCCTCGAAGACGTGGGGTGTCCTCGGTAGCGGGTCCAGGACGCCCACGGGTAGCCCCTCCTCCGCTTGCCGGAGGAACTCCCGGTCCGGGTCGCCCGCAACTTCTAGCTCGGAGTAGCCGGAGGTATGGCGGCTGTCCCGAAGGCACCTCTAGCTGTCCAGGCGTGGAAGCAACAGACGTGCGACAGCCAAAGTGACGGCAGTTCGTCCTACCGAAGCTGTGCCAGTGATTCTGGCAGTGTACTGGAAGGAGATGCATCGAGTGCACTTTCAGATGAGGAGCAGCGTCCACAGGCTGCAGCAGTGATTACAGAAAAGGAGTTGCAGGACGTTATCGCAGAGCTGCAGGAGAAGTGGGGCGAGTGTTGTGGCCTGTATGTGCACGGCTCCACAATATTCGCCAACCAGCTGCCGCACGACCTGGACTTGATTGCCGTCATCGATCATGCGAAGCAAGTGGTGCCGCAGGACTCGCCAGACTCGCAGTTCACCCTGGGCCGGTGTGAGGTGTCCGTGTATGAGCGTCGATGCTTCTTTGAGAAGCTGCATGCCATGGACCTGACCATGCTGACCTGTCTTTCCACCCCGAAGCGCTTTGTGCTAAAAGAGCTCCAGGATGAGCGCCTTCGAAGCTTCGAGCTGGACCTGCGATTGCTGGAGGAGTCGGTCACTTCCTACGCAGAATTCACCTGGCTGAAGGCACAGCGTGTCTTGAACGACTGGAAGGATCCGTACAAGTCGAGCAAGAACGCATACTTCGTCTTTCGTGTGCTGGAGTTCGGCTGCCAGCTTGCGGATCATGGGCGGATTGTTGATCTCAAGGCCGCAAACCATATGTGGGACGTCATCAAGGAGCTCTACCAGGTACTGGACATCCAGCCGCACGATGAGGAGAAAGACAGTGCCAGCGAGCCTTGGGGTTTTAAAGACCGTCGACTCCGCCAGTTTACGGCAACTATAAGACTGAGCCGGTGTCACAGGGAAGCTTCCCGCAAGAGTAGTCAGCGACTCTTGACTGTGAGGTGGCTTGCTGGAAGCTCGAGACTTCCTGTGATGTTGAGGTCGTGTATATTCGTGTATCATCTGCACTGGTTCTGACGTGTTTCCGGTGTCTCCTTCGCGGTAGGGCTCATTAAAGCAGCCTCGCAGGACGTCATCGAGGCCGTCTTGGCCAAGCACTTCAAGGACTCCGTGGCTCGATTCGAGGCCAAGGCGGAGGCGGCGCGCCGGCGTGCGGAGCGGCGCGGAGGCGTCCGGGACGCCCGAGGGTCGGAGGCGGAAGAGAAGGCAGAGACGGCGGATGTCTCGGAGACGTCGGCACCAAACTGGGACACCTGCGTCGTTTGCCTTGAGCCTACCAGCGGGTGTGGAAAGAAAGAGTTGAACCAACTGTTGCAAGCTCCAAGTGATGCCAACGTGGCAGACACCTGGGTGCAGCTGGTGAACTGTCGGCACTGTTTCCACACAGCCTGCATCGCTGATGCTGTCCGGGCCAGCCTCAAAGCCGACCGAACTCTGCGACACGCAGCATGCCCCGTCTGCAGGGCCTCGGTTGTCTTCGACTTCCAGGCCTGAGGGATCCTCCATGGGATAAGGGATAAGGGAGTTTCAGAAAATTAGGGTACCTTATGTGGGGGTCCTTATAATAGGGATCCTATTATTTAGGGTACTATATTAGGGTCACCTGTTTTCGGAACTCCCCATAAGGTAAGGATAAGGTAGGGATAAGGTAAGGCTTACAGCGGCTTACAGCCACCTGTCCCTTCACGCAGGCGAGGTCCACTTTGAGCCGACGGCGGAGGAAGCGGCCCATGTCCTTCGCGGGGTACCCGGCCACGATCAGAAATCCGGAAAGCCGGCAGCGTGATGGTCGTCAAGGCCGTGACGGTCGGGATGACCGCGATGGCCGCGATGGCCGCGATGATCGTGATCACGAGCGGGTGAACAGAGCAGCCCTTCCGCCAAGGAACCGGGCATATCAAGCCCGGCGGGCATGAACGTGGCAGATGCTGGTTTCGCCATTCGGAGTCCGCAGAGTAGCAGACCTAGGTGAAGCTAGCAAAAGGGGAATTGATCCCCTATGAAGTATGTACAGTGTACAGAGTCGCGCGTGGCCGCTTCACAAAGGCTGCCAGATCACGGGGACGGACAGGAGATGACTTGGTTCCCT